GTGGCCACGACGATGAGGCAACAGAAGAACGAACCAGAAGAGAAAGGAAATTATGAAACAAAACACAAGAATAATGGGAGGAAAGTGTTGTATTGTTGCTTTATAATCACGCTTTCATTTTAGCCGAAGAAAGATTCGGTGTAATAATGTAAACTTTGCAGCGAGTTTGGATGCTTTTCTGTGATTTTTATACCCTACACCACAAGGTGGTCAGGGTATTATGTCTTTGTGCATTTGTTTGTAACAGGCAAAAGGAAACGAGATAGACCCATAGTTCCTTTTGATTATCTGCATAGAATCACTTTCTGAGTTGTTTTATGCATGTCAGTCCGTCTGTCCGTCCGTCTGTCCATTTATTCTTATGAACAAAATGCAGGTCGCATTTATTATCCGATTGAGATGAAATTTTGCAAACAACATTTGTTTGGCCCAAGGACGAACCCTATTGAAATTGGAGATAATCGGTAAAAATTTAGATATTGCTCCCATATATATCTTCGTCCAATTTGCCTTTTATTGTGCACCAAACGTGTAATATCAGCCCGAATAGTATGAAATTTTGCACATACAAACAAATTAGGGTTGGAAATAAGTATGCCAAATTTTATCGAAATCGGTTCAGATATAGCTATAGCTCCCATATATATTGTTCATCCGATTTGTTATTTTTGTCCTCCGCAGCCGTAATATGCACTTTGTAACAACAATATTTGGGGAAATATATCAAATGCAGCTCAGAAATACCTTTGCTAAATTTTATCGAGATCGGTTCAGATTTGGATATAGCTCCCATATATAACTTCGTCCGATTTAACATTTGTTGTGCACCAAACGTCTATTATTTGTCCAAATGGGATGGAATTTGGCACATACGACCGAATTTAGTCTAGAAGGTAGTATGCCAAATTTGGTGAAGATCGGTTCAGATATAATTATAGCTCCCATATATATTGTTCATCCGATTTATTGTATTTGTTACCCACAGCCGTAATATGCACTCCATAACAACGATATTCAGGGAAATATATCAAATACAGATCAGAAATATCTTCGCCAAATGTTATCGAGATCGGTTCAGATTTGAATATAGCTCCCATATATATTTTTATCCGATTTCAAATTAATTTCGCACCAAATGGGCAATACAAGTCCGAATTTAAAAGATACAAATGCTTCGGCATATTTAGTCCTTTGAATTTTAAATTATAATTATAATCATAGCGTGTATGATTGAATTCTCCCATAAAAACTTCAATTATTAAGTGGAGCTCAACTAAATTAGCAAAGTGGTGTAGGGTATCATAAAATCGGCCCCGCCCGACTTTAGGACTTTCTTTACTGGTTAAATAATGAAATTAAAGAAAATTTGCTAATGAATTGGATTTGAAGACTACAACGAAATATTAAAACGTGCAGCAATATTGAATAGTTTTCAAGGTGACCTTTAAATCGGTTGGAAAATTTTTTTGTCTAAATAATGGTTTGCTAGTTGGAGCCTCCTAATCCAATTGGTTTGGTTTCAAAAAGGCTTCCTGGCATTGTCGCAGATTCAAAACTGATAAAATGGTCAATATCGTGATATTCATTAGAAACACATAACGAATTGGAACAAACGAAACGAACTGGAACAAAGTAAGCTAGTATAGGAAAAAACAAGTAAAAAAGCTTTAAGTTCGTTCGGGCCGAACTTTGAATACCCTCCACCATTTGGAACGAATTTGACAATTTTCGAAAAACATAAAATCCGTTAACAATTCCGTTATAATACGACGGCATGGACCTGTATAGGCCACTTTTGGCATAAGCCATTACAATATTCAAATGCGAAACTTAAAAAAAAAATCAGCGAATAATGTCGCTAAAATCATCAAACAACCGAATATCGGGAGGTGCCGTTATATTGGGGCTATACGAATGCGTGGACCTGCACGCTAAATCGAAATAGAATTTTATGCAGTCAAAAGTGACAAACTTAATATGCCCTCTATACTATGGTGGAGGTTTTAATTATAAAAGCAAGGATGACGTGTTTAATTTAAAGTGATAGTCGAAATACACAGTTCTAAATTCTGTGAATAATTCAACGTTAGTAATTTTAATCCGTAAGTCCTTGACATTTACTTAGTGGAAGAATTCTGAAACACAAACTTCAATTGAATCATATTGCATTCTCTTTTGAGGACTTCCGTTTCGGGAGGTTTGGAGTCCACCCGTAAGTCTTACTGGCGCCAAAGAAAATTCTTGAAGGGATTTTAACTTGTCTCAAAGAAAGCAACGGTGTTATTCACTTGATTCTGGTTTAACTGTTAAGCCTCAGAAAGGGTCAAAAGTTTGAACAATAATAATCCTCCCAAAAGGCAAAATAATTCTGGTACCTCCCCCACAAAAAGTCAATATTAAAAAAAAACCACAGTTGTCGTAAAATGTGGAATTAGTTTCTTAGCACATCTCAATATCTTTGCCTGCAAACGTGAAGATGGAATACATTGACCCACTCGTACTGGTACCTACCCATAAAAACAAACAGATAAAGGGTAAAGGTAGACCATATTGGTTTTAAAAAAGATCCTACCCTACAAAAATTCTAAATAAAAAAAAAAAAAACTTAAGACGTTTCACATTTATATCGAAAATGGGTAACTCCTTCTGAATAACCATATATTTTATGAAAGATAAATCGATTCTCTTCAAATATGAATATGAAGTCTACGACAAGGTCCAAACGTAACTTAGCCAGGCTCGACTTAGCCAGTTCTTTAGATTAGGGTAATATTTGTGTAGGTTCTCGTATAGTCTAATTCGGTGTTTGATTATAGTTTGGAATCAGATATTTGAAGTTGTCAGACAAAAAAAGACACATTTAGGTCTACGTGTTTCTATAGTTCACATATCTCGAAAAGTTCTCGGAAAAAAGTATATCGAAAGTTTATTTAAATATTAAATATTCTCCACGATTTGAAAGTAATTTGCATATTAAAAAAAAACAATTGAATACAGGGAGTTGCTGTTATATTGCGACCAACACGAATACGTGGACCTGTATATGCAATTTTGTCGTAGACCATTTTGATATTCATATACGAAACTTGAAACAACTCCGATGAATAATGTCGTTAAAAATATAGAGAGGTATCGTTATATGGGAATATACGACCTGTATGAGCAATTTCTGTCATAGGATGTATTGCTCATAAAGAACTTCAAATTCCAAATTTGAAATATTTTCGGTGACAAATGTGACACAAATAATCACAATACTGAATATCTGGAGGTTATAGCAAAACGTGGCCCATTTTCAATACCAAAAGTCCTGCAGAGATAACATACATCTGAGTAAAATTTAATCAACCCAGATGAACATCGATAAATCGATATAGAATTGTATGCTGATTAATTCTATAATGTATTTTTCGAGGTGTTACAAACGGAATGACAAAACCTAATATATGCTCCATACTATGTATGGTATAAAAATAATGGATCTCATTAAAACAGGACGAAATTTTATAGTCGCCGCCGATGGAATACCTTAAATGAAAATTTCTTTCGATACCAGGAAATGAAACATGAAAACAAAGGCTATAGTCGTGCGGGGGCGGCCATGTGATATGCTGAAAGCCCTTATGACCAAATCCTTAGATTGGTTTTCAATTGCAGAGCGATTGCAAAATTAGGAAAATTTTTATTTTTTTTGGTTCCATTTGAATCCCTAAATGTACATCTTCAAAAACAGTAGACTTCAATTCTGACCCTAATCCTACCCCCTGCAAAAATTTTTGTAGAAAATATTCAATTAAAAAGTGTAAGGTAACTTGAAAATATCGCATGCGATAAAAAATATTCGCTTTTCATTGGCATATTTTTTACGCGATTTTATTATATTTTATACGTTTTAAGCAAGAGACCATTCAAAATTAATGAGAATTGTGAAAATCCAGTCCAGCGGTTCTTGACTTTAAAGCAGAATAACTAGGATCTATTTCTTTTACATATATATTGTAACTACTTTGCAATATATCCGATATCTTGGCTATCAGCAGAAGTGACCTTTTAATGTATTGGTGAATCGGCCGGGTTAAACAATATTCGCGGTTTAGTGGAAGTTTGGTATTTTTTTTGGCATAAAAGTTATGTTTTTTTACCCGCTAAAAGTTGTCCGATGACCGTCCAAGTAATGGTAGGCTTCTGTCCAGCCCTAAACTCAAACTGCATGCTAAATTTCGGGTCGAAATCAGGATATTTTCTGTTTTTGGTACATTTCAACACCTAAATATTTAGCGTTCATCTCCAAAAATAATAGGTATCTATTGTGACCCTAACCCGACCTGCAGTTTCAGTTTCGTGAGGATAGGGCCATAACTGCGACCTGTGACGTGAAGGACAAGAAGGACAGACATACATAGCCAAATCGATTCAGCTCGGCGAGATAGACAAATCCGTTACAAAATGTGGCAAAAATCATTAAAATACGGATTATCGGGATGTACCTTTATATGGAGATCATACCAGATTTTGGAAAATAATGTCGCAAAAATATTATTAGCGATTTGGTTTAAATTAAAGTTTTTTTTTCTTAAACGCCGGCTTAACTGGTTTTGTATTGGCCCATGCAATTAGCAAAATTAATTGCGGCATTTTTTTGCAACCTTGAGAAGTTGACGACACTGACTCCATGTTATGACGCGGCATGTTCAAAAAAAAAAATAACACCAGTCATAAACACAATTCATTTTTTTCGTGTGTTTTTCTCATCGAATAGAAGAATGTGTGGGGAAGCAAGAATGAACGAATAGTAATAATAACAAAAGAAGACAATGCGGATGTGAAACATATGAATGGGATGGAGAGGGGAGGGAATAGCAATATGAAAAGAATGCTTTGGCTAAAATACAATAACCCAGAAGGAAGAAAAGACAAAGAGGAACAAGAAGAAGCAAAAAACAAAAAGAAATAAAAAAATACAAAAAAAAATTTAAAAAAAGTAATACTGACCTGACCTACTCTAAAGCTGAAAATCCAAAAGAAGAACGGCGACAACAGCCGTAGCAGCAACAGAAGAATGTTGGCTCCGTTGGAGTTCACACAGTTTGGTGCACTGTTCCGAAAATGTCACACACTCGAAACGCACATACAATCACGCTCTAACAGTCGGTGATTTTTTCTTTCACTCTGCTCCCGTCACAAAACGGAGATGTGAGGAGAATTTATAATACGAGTTATATTTCGCTGGTTTTGTAGTTGTTGTATTTTTTTTTTTTTTTTTTGGTTTTGGTGCGCTTTTATTTTAGCGTCTTTCTTTTCATAAAACAAAATCAATGATGGATGCACTCAGAGTACTATTTCTTAATGAATAGTAGTGATAAACGTATTTGTTGTTTTTTTATCACAATGATTTCTTTGTTTGGAGGAACTAGATGGAGAATAAAAGAGACACAAAATTTTACACAATATTGGAGATACTTGCGATTATGTGTTCTTGGGAGTTAAAACAGTGGAAAGTTTGGAAAAATACAAAAAAAAAAATTAAAAAATAAAAATAGTTAACTTAGCTACCAAGAAAATCTAAAAAGTTGATGAATAATTTTTGATAACATGGACCGAAATTTTTACAAATCTTCTTCTACATCATCTCTGGAAGAAGTTATTCTGGGAATCTCAATTTTGGTTCACAAAAGTCACATAGTTCTCATATTCCATTAAAGGGGATTAAATTAAAAAAAAAAATAAACAAAAATTAATATCTAAAATTTTAAAAAAAAATATGAATTTGATGTTTTCAAATCCACATTTTGAAATAATAAAACCTCAATAGATAAAACCTAAAAAAAACGAAAGATTTAATTTAAATACAAAATCAACAAGAACATAAGAAGAAGCCAAGGTAACACAAAGGCATGGGGGAAGCCCTTAAATTAAAAAACAGAAAATAAACAACAACAATGCTGGTATGGTAGTACTACAACAATCTAGGGGAGTTGAAGCATAACCTACAACAAATCACAATTTCATAAAAATGCAAATGAAGTTAATTGAAAAAAAAAAAAAACAACAGAGACTACCGTCTTTCCCTCATCTCTTCTCACTGAAAGGCAGGTAGTCAGCTGAGTCTGGTACAACGGCTAAGCGTTCGAGTTGAATTAACTTCTTTTCTCTCCTTGTATTCTCCGGCTTCTTACATTTATTCATTCATTTATTCTACTGCAATGACGTGATTGTGTATTTAAATTATTTCTTCGTTTCGCCTTTCTTTTGCACAATTTGGATTTTTCCTCTGTCTTCTTCAGACATGCTTTAATTTATTTAAATGAATTGCACTCATTCACTTAATGGCGAGCCAACAATAAAAAGAGCTCGTTATGGCTGTAATTTCTATAAAATTTTCATATTTCCATCATCAGCAATTATTAATAACAAAACTAATATTTTTTCCACAAATAACACGTCATTTATTCAACATTATCAGCAGCATCATTATGATCGTTTCGAAATATATTTTCGATCACATCCACCACACAGATATATAGATTTTTTTGATTTCTAATTAAAACACTTTATTTTTTTTTTATTGTTGTAAGATCTCTTCTCAAGCGTTGTACGTAAAAACCCCCTTTGAAAAAACACACACTGTCCAACACGTCCCAAAACAAAAGACGAAAACCAACCTTGCGCCACGAGCGTAAATTGCCAACTAAACACTTTGGAGCACACTTGGACTCCACTTAAGGCAAACACAATGTTAACAACATCTCAAAACAGGTTTTCGAATGTTAATGGCTGCTCTCTTGTACAGTGTCGGCAAAGTGGCCCCATTTTAAAAAATTACATAGTGAGAGTACAAGCCCCAATGTTAAATAACAAAGCGTGTCGCTCTCTCAACTGTTATGCTGGTGGTGTGCTCTCTCAGCCTCACACAATTCATATTCTGTTATTGGGAAGCATCTTGATTGCTCTCCAAATTTTTAATCCCCCCATTCTCATGACTCAAGTGAAATGCATCATGTAACAGAATTCTCTCTTTCTCTCTCTCATTCATGTTTGTTGTAATTATTATTGTATTTGAATTGTGTTTCTTTTTCAAAGGAAAAATCACAAAATTCAAGTTCAACATGTGTTTGTTTTTTCTATGTGGGTTTGTTGTTGTTGTTTTGTGGTGATGTTTAATGCTTACTAAAACAAGTGTCACTCTTTGATAGAATGAGTGTTGCCAGTAGTGGGGGATTTTATACCAAACTGGGACATCTCTGTGGTTTGTTGGAAATAAACAATAAAAGTCGTAATATGTGAATTATGAGGGACTACCAATGAGACTTTTATAAATTTTTTAAAGTTAAAGCCATATTTGTAAAAAGTGGCCCACTGATCGGTCTATTAAAGGATTCGTATAGTCCGTTCAGTCCGTTTCTATATTATATTATTAAAAAAATATATGATCATTTTTAATAAAAGTACTTACAAAGATTTGACGGGCTTATCATTTAATATTACTAGTAATGATAAGTTTACCAGGAAAATAACTTACTTTTACCATATCAAGTCAGTACAAGGTGAGACGAAAAAAATGCAACCAAGTTCAGACTACTGTCATTTCTAAGCTCCTCGTCCGACAGCTGTTAAAATTATTCCAGTGACAGTGCTTACAAGCGTACAAAAGCATTTTGGTGAGAATTTTGCAGAAAAAAAGTTATTCGTGATGGAATTCAAGCGTGATAGTGTGATTTCTTTATATTTGGCTGGAAAATCACAAGTGGCCATCGTTAGAGCACTCCAGCATCTAAATGTGAATAAATCTTTTGTGTCTCGTACTATCGCTCGTTAACGTGATACTGGTAGCGTAACACGGCGTCATGGAAGTGGACGGAAGAAAACAGCAACATCAGCAAAAATTGTTCGAAAAAAAAAAACAAAAAACGATTTGATCGAAATTCGCGTCGCAGTGGCCGAAAAATGGCTCGTGAGCTGAACATATCGCAATATCGCTAGCGGAGAAGCCATTGCTATTCCAAAAAGTGCAAGAACTTACACCGCAACAGAAAGAAAATAGACTCAAAAGAGCTAAAGAGTTGCTTCGCTTGGCCGAAAGTAGTGAACTGCCGAATTTGGTTTTCTCCGATGAGAAAATATTCGTTGTCCAGCAGTTTGTAAACAGACAAAATGATCGTGTTTACTTGCCAAAGAGGAAATGTGCACCTTCTGTTGGCCATCAGAACTCAAGCGCCGGCTATGGTGATGGTGTTGGCCGCCATAACAGCCGATGGTCGCTCTCTGCTCGTATTAATCGACCGTGGCATTAGAATAAATGCCGATATTATCGCGAATATATTCTGGAGGGTGTATTACAGCCATGGGCACGCAAAGATTTTGGCCGCAGACCTTGGACATTCCAATAGGACTCATCACCAACGCACTCAGCATGCACCACCTAAGAATGGTTACAAAATGAGTTACTACGATTCATTTCCACACAAAAGCACCGGATTCCAATCCCTTGGACTATTGTGTCTGGAGTATTTTGGAAAGCAAGGTTGGCACTAAAAAAAGGTGACCAATTCGAACAAATCTAAACTTATTCTAAAATTTGATGATATTTCCGGCATTTGTGCTTTCATTCAATAAAATTAAAAAAAAAAATGTAAAAATTATGGCGTTTGACTCCTATCTGCACATATAACATCTAGTACTCGAAACGAATTTTTATTACTGAAAAAGTAAAGTGGTTGACTGACTTAATAATTCATCGATGCCAAAACGAAACGGCTGAAGATAGAATCTTGAAATTTTGGGTGAAGGTCACTCTTGGTCCGAAGATGTCAGATTCAGCTGCGTTTTGAAAATTCGTAGTAAGAGTTAGTAAATATGGTTTTTGATGAACCAGTGGATAGAAGTGGAATGGTGGTTATTGATGGAGTGTATGATGAATGTACCAAAGGGTTTTGGGAAATTTGAACTAAAAGTGTACGAAAAGTACATTTACTACATTTGATAAAATTTCGTATCATATGAGCGGTTAGACCTACAAACTTGATATTTGGAATGGGAATCAAGGTTAAGGTTTAGAGTCGATGTAAAGAGCTCGTTTTTTATGTGTTTACACATGCAAACAAAAAGTACTAAATGGTACTATATTTAGTACAATTTGAATTTGGAGGGACCGATGGAGCTGGGATCCCGAAATTTAAAATTCATATTACTAGTGGAGTGTAGGATTGGGATATGCAGGAAGTTGGAATTTGCACTTATGTGCACAAGAGTAGTAAATAGTAAAAAATTTGGTACAATTTCGATTTGGATGAACCGATTTAGCTGCAATCCTAAAATTGAGAAATAAGGTTACCATTGCATTCAAGGTCTGAGGAATGTAGGTTGCTTTGGAAATTCGTACTCATGTGTACCAAATGGTACTTAATTTAATACAGTTTATATTTTCCGGCGAAACGATAGGGTTGGAATCCTAAAATTTGGATTTGGGAATACTGTGGGAGTGTACGATTAAGGTATATAGAAATATACGGAAATTCGTACTTTTGTGTACCAAATGGTACTAAATTTAGTACAAATTGGAATTGGAATAAATCAATAGAGCTGGAATTCTGAAATTTGACAGTAAGATTTCTACTGGATTTTATGTTTCAGATATGGAGATGGTTTTGGAAACTTGGAGTGTAGGATTGCGGTATGTAGGAAGTAGTGTAGAAGAAAATGTGTACTAAATTTGGTACAATCGGGATACGTGTAAACCGATAGGGCTATAATCAAAATTTATTTGAAATTTTATTAAACTAAAGACATTGAGTATTTTGAGTACTAAAAGCCCTTCTTATGCTTAACGTTTTCTTGTGATAGAAGACATCGGTTCAAAGCAAACGAACAAATGAATTTAGGTTGAACTTTGTTTAGAATTTGAACTAAGAAGCATACCGATGACATAATGAATGTTGAACTAAAATATTTTGCGTCTTTAGGAAATTTTAAATTCAGTATTTTCGAACTTGAAACAAGTAAAACAGCTGTGTTGGAACGAATTTGTCAATTCTCAGAAAAAATAAAATCCCTGTAGTTTTTACATTAGGATCTATACGACGACATGGACCTGCATAGGTAACTTTTGTCATAAGCCAATATTCAAATGTGAACCTAAAAAAATCGGTATATAATGTAGCTAAAATCATCAAAATACCGAATCTCGGGGGTAATATTATAGGGGGGCTACATCAAAACGTGGACCTGCACAGACAACTTTCTGTCATAGGCTGTAGTATCCACTACGAACATCAAATGCCAAGTTTGTGGCGCTATACTAAGACGTGGACCTGCACAGACAATTTTCTGTCTTAGGCTGTAGCCTCTATTTCGAACTTCAAATACCAAATTTGAAACAATTCCGATATCAAAATATCAAATATCGGGAGGTACCGTTATATGGGGGCTATACCAAAACGTGTACCTACATGGCCCATTTTCAATGCCAAAAGTCCTGTAGAGTAAAATTTTATCAATTTTAAAATTGTATCAATCTACTTTAATTCGTTCGGAAGCTAGAGTGATTTCCACAGACGGACGGACATCGCTACATCGATATACAATTTTATGCTGATCAAGAATACATATACTTTGTGTGGTCTAAAATGTATATTTCGAGGTGTTACAAACAGAAAGACAAGCTTAAAATACCCTCCATACTATGGTGGAGGGTATAAAAAATCTAGATTTGAAAAGATTGGCTCGCCTAATTAACATTGTATTCCACATGTATGCTTGGTGAATGTAAGCTCTGTAATTGATAAGAACAGGGCTGTTAAGTTGTATGGCTCTGTAATGAATCTGGCCCAGTGTAGAACTTAACAGATAACATTCTAATGTGTTACATGGGACGCACACATATGCAAGTTACATTCATAGCCTAACGTATGCAATATAGTTACATTAAACAGTAGCAGAGATCAAGATAGATTCCACATTATTTTATGTAGAGCTTGAAAATTTGGAAATTGGTATTGTATCTAACAGATTTCAATTGTGTCATTTCGGGTTTATAATTGGTAGGTTTTCTTCGTATCACAAATCATCAATGAAGGTGTTAATAATATGCTATTGACACTCCCCCGTTACACGTCAGGATTTCGGTATTTTTGAATAAATAGTGGCACCGAGTTTTCTTATATACTTTAAAGGTCCTTGTCACATTCGCTGAAATTTGATATTTTTCGGTCTTAATGAGTCGAAATATTTTCGCCAAAATTGGTCAATATGACATCCACATTACGCTATATCCACTTTTAACTAAATGGACTACAATTCAATATTTTTTCCAATTTTTATATATGATCAAATCCTAAATTTTAGAACTAATATCACAACAATTCAAACTTTCATCTCTTGATGGGTATGAGAAGCTCTCCCAGCCTATTACCCTATTATACAGCAGATTTTGCAAATTCACATGGTTGAGAAAGACGTTGCGAAAAATAGTATCATATGCCAATATATTGTTTTTAAAAAACTCCCTTCAAGATGCAGTGTTCCAGATCTGCCACTCAATGGATTTATGTAACAAAATATATGAGTTCAATAAGACATTATGAAGTTCAATTCAAATGACACAATAAAAATACACTCCTATACGTTGGCACACGTAGGAGTATGGACAATAAGAAAGCCGACTCCTTTAAGTGCATTGGTCCAAAAATAAAAATATTGGCAATCACAAGCCAAAAATGCACATTTACAAAACACATATTTTAAACCTTAATGACCAAATGACCCAGTTTCAAAGTTTCGAGTGCAAATGTCATTCATA